GCCGCGCCCGACCCGGAATTGACCCGGAGTCGGCGCTTCATTCGCCGACTTGAGTCCGGCGCCGCGGGCGCCGCGCGAGTTCGTTCTGGCGCGAGTCGGAGCCTGGACATTACAGCAGGGGGAAGGGCCGCTTCTCCGGCGCGTCGTGCCAGGCGCGGTCCGCGAGCTTGCGGAGGGACTGGAGGCGCATGGCGCCGTCCGCGAGGTGCGCCGCGTTCGAGGCCGTCGGCGCTTCGAAGAGGAAGAAGCCCTCGCAGGGCCGGAGCGCGTCGCCGGCTGCCGACGCTGTACGCGAGGGGCGCGCCGACGTCGGCGGCGAGCGCCGCGAGGGCCCGCGCGCCGAGGCCGCGCTCGAAGCGCGTGCCCCGGAGCTCGGCGACGGCCGCGCCCGCGCCGAGCGCGTCGACGCGGACCGCGTGGACGCGGGCGCCGCCGCGGCGCGCGCCGGCGTCGCCCGTGCAGCGGATCTGGTAGGCGACGTCGGGGGGGCCGCCCGGTCCGCCGACGGCGAACGCGTGGCCGAGCGCGCACGCGTGCGCGAAGTGGCCCGCGACGCCCTTGCCGTAGGACCGCCGCGACGTCGGCAGCACGATCGGCGACGCCGGGTCCGCGGGCGGCGGCAGGGCCGCGACGCGGTCGACGGGCCCGCGGTCCACGGCGACGCCGGCCGGCCCGACCCAGCGGCACTCGAGCGGCGCGCCCGTCGCGTTGAGCAGGGAGAAGAAGACGCCGCGGCCGCACGCGGGCACGGCCGGGAGGCCGCCGCAGGCGCCGAGCGCGCCGCGGACGCGCGCGGCGCCGACGACGAGGAGCCGCACGCGGAGCGACCGCGACACGTTTCGGAACGCGGCGACGGCGTCGCCGGCCGCGTCGAAGCGCGGCGGCGGCCGGAGGCCCCGCGCGGCGAGGTCCCGGCGCACGAGCGCGAGGCCGCACCGGTTCGCGCCCAGGTGCTCGCGGAAGCCCCGGGCCGCGGCCGCGCCGCGCCGCGCGTCGAGGAACGCGAGGAACGGCGCGACGCCGTAGCCCAGGATCTCGCCGAGGACGAAGCCCTCGTACAACCGGACGGCGCCGGGCGCCGCGCGGGGCGCCGGGGCGGCCATCGCACGGGCGCGCGCGGCGGACGCGCCGGACGCTTCGGCCATCGGACGGGCACGCGCGGCGGACGCGCCGGACGCTTCGGCCATCGGACGGGCGCGCGCGGCGGGGGACGCAGAGCTCGAGGAGCTCCGCGGAGGACGCTCGGAGAGCACCGCAACGTAGGCCTCAACGTTGAACATGTACATTGAAGCCATACAAGCTCCCCAGGCGCGCTCGGACGCGCGCGGGCGCAGCCGGGCGGGCCGCCCCGGATCCGCGGCCGCGGGCGCGCGTATCTACTGAGACGTTACTTCGGCGAGGGTGGGGCGCCCCGGACGGCGGCTCCGGCGCGGGGCTGGGACAAAGAGGGCCGCCGGCGGAGCGGCGCCTCGGTTTTCCGCTCACGCGTCC